GAGGGCCGGGGCGGCGCCGAGCCCCGCCGGAGCAGGGCGCAGGGTGCTGGGCGACCCGGCCGGGGGCGCCAGGGCGAAGATGGCGAGCGTGGGGTTGCAGTTCCAGGCGAGCGCCGGGGATGCGGACCCCCAGAGCCGGCCTCTGCTGCTGCTGGGCCAGCTGCAACACCTGCACCGCGTGCCCTGGAGCCACATCCGCGGGAAGCTGCAGCCCCGGGTCACCGAGGAGGTGAGCGGGCCGCGGCCGCCATGCGCCCGCCAAGCCCAGGCCTTGGGACACAGGCCCCGCCTCGCCCGCGCGCCCCGCCGGGCCCAGGGCGCTAGCGGGCGACGGGCCTGGTCTTCTGTCCCGGAAGCCCTGGCTGCAGCGAGGCCTGGCCTGTGTCGCCGGCCTGCCTGGGCCTAGCCACCTGCACCCGCGCCGCCGGGCCTGGCCTTCCAGAGAGCCCAGTGGCAGCTTCCCGCGTGGTCTCTGGCCTTGAGACCCGCTTCCATGAAAATTGGCCATGGCCCAGGAGCCGGGCTTCCAAGTGTTTGAAGCAGAGGGTCCCCAGACAGGCCTTGCCAGCCCGAGGCGCAGTCCCACGAGGGTGGAAGGGTGTCAGAGAGACACACAGCTTGCCTGGTGGTGCTTGGGATGTCTTAGACTAGCAGGTGTGGCCATCAAGGCATCTCCCGACACACAACACACGTTTTGAAGCCAGGCCTGTCTCATGTCTCCTTTCTAATCTAGCTCTGGCAGGCAGCTCTGGCCACGCTCAACCCCAACCCCACGGACAGCTGTCCCCTCTACCTGAACTGCGCCACAGTGGCAGCTCTGCCTTCCAGGGTGAGCCGGCATAACAGCCCTTCTGCCGCCCACTTCATCACCAGGCTTGTGAGAACCTGCCTGCCTCCTGGAACCCACCGGTGCATCCTGGTGAGTGCTAGGCCATTCAGTGTACCCAGAGAGTCCATGGCCCACCTCAAGCAGAGCTTGCTGTCCCGTGTGACCTCCCGTTCTAACTCTTCAACCACCGAGTGATCAGTTTGCGTGACAAATCAGAGATGCCAGCTTAGATTTATTGAGGCCTGGGCTTATGTCTGTGCCCTGCTCGTCTGTCTGGGAAAGAGCGGACAACATCTGGTGGCAGACATATTTCTCACGCAGCCTCAGGTTACTGTGGGGCACAGAACTCTTTCGATTTGTCCACTGTAGGGCTGGTGTTGGGACAGACCTCGCGGCATCCCTTTGTAGCCTCAGTTCCATCCTGTTTCTCTCTCACTACAGATGGTTTGTGAACAGCCTGAGGTTTTTGCCTCTGCCTGTGCCCTGGCGCGAGCCTTCCCACTCTTCACACACCGCTCAGGGGCATCCCGGCACACGGAGAAGAGGACGGTCGTGGTGGAGTTCTTCCTGGTGGGACAGGACAATGGCCCCGTGGAAATGTCCACCTTGCAAGTGGGTGTCTGGCAAGAGCAGTAGGCCTCCTCCAGGATGGTCTTTCGTGTTGTGTTTTCAGGTCCCCGTTTGTTCCATTAGAGTTTGTTGAGTGCCTGCTTTGTGCCTGGTACAGTTGTGATTTTATTCTGCACTGTTGTACCCTTGGGTGGGTAGCACTTTTAAGTGTGTTGTGTCACTGAAGCCTCAGAGAAAACCCTTGCAGGCTGGAAACCGTTGCCAGCCTGTCTGTCAAGGGAGGCACCTGAGTGAGGCTGCCTTCCCTGTCCCCAACCCCATTGATTGACCTCACTCTGCCCAACACCCAGAGACCAGCTTGTCCGTCCATTTTGGTCTCAGAAGTGCTGTCACTTGAGCCCTAAGCAAGCCCCCTCCTTGGGGCCTCTGTTCTCTGTCTCCCTGATAAAGTGAAAAAGCGAGCAGGCCCCCACCTCTGCTCTCTGTGTTCTTGAAAACAGTCTAGTTGCTTTGCTTGTTTTAACACCCTTTCTCTACTAACACACCCAAACCTGGTTTTGGTGCCTTTCCGAAGGCCACAGTGTAGCCACCCCTCCTTGAAGCATGCCCTTATGACCTGACTAGCCTTCAGCCTCTTGCTTTCTCTTCCTGGCTTCTCTGGCCACAGTGCTACCACTCTGGTAGGTTTCAGCTACCTGTGGACCTCATCTGGCAATCGACACTGAAGTCCGGCCATGTCTGTCCCTGTCCATAGGGAGTCCCTTCTGAGCTTCAGGTTCAGTTCCTACCAGATCCCAGCCTGGAAGCCTTCTTCCCGAATCCTGCTAGCCTCGGACACTCTCAACCCTTCTGCACAGCCTTCTACCCTCCCACAGCGGACTCCCTGCATCCCTCAACTAGCCAGGCGTGCTCATGTCTGGGCACCCTGTGGTGCGGTGCTACTTCCTCCTTTTTCCTCACCCACGCACCCCCACGACCCTCTTTCCTAGAGCCCCAGGTCCTGTAGACTTTAACTAGTTGCTTCATTCTTGTCTCTACTGACACTGCTCCCAGTCATTTGAGGGTCTGTCACACTGTCTGACATGTAGCAGGCCTTACACAAACGTGCACAGAAGGGAATGGATGTTGTCTCTCTTGTCAGGTGGGAAGAAAGGCTCATATTCTCTTCCCTCACTCAACTCCGTGCCTGTGGAGGGTCTGTAGGGTTATAGCTGTCTCTCTTGAGGCCAGTCCTCAGCCCAACACACATCCCACGCAGGCCACCGACTGTTGTCAGGTGGCAGGGGCCTCAGAAGCACAGCTCATATTTGAGCTGTCAGCTCCCAGGTCTCCACTCGGAGCCTTCGAGGTTTAATTACCTGGGACAGGCAGTGGCTCTTGTGATGATCAGACAGCGGGGGCGGTGGCCGGCTGGCAGAATCGACCTGTGCCTGCCCTCCTGACATACAAGTCTGGGGGAGGTGATGATGAGCTTCAAGCTGCTGCCCTGCGCCCCCGCAAGCCCCTTAATATCTGTTTCTTACAGCCAGCACAGAGGCACTGACGACGCCAGCTATCCCTGGCTTCTGAGGTTTTGGGTATATGATGGGATTAGATGGAGGTAGAGGGATACTCGAGTCAGCTAGGAGGAAGGCCCTGTGGCAGAGAAAGGTGGGCAGGTAGGGGTCTAGAGCTGGGCTGGCTCTGAGGAGGCACGGGGCCAACCCTCCTCTGGATAGACCTAGCATCGACAGACACTATTGGGCTGTTTCTGGGTTGTTTTGGCATGTGGCTAGGTGTCTGGTAGGGTCTGTGGTCACAAGTTCCTGTCCTCTCCTGGGTCCTCTGAGACTCACGTGTTCTCTACAACAGAACGTGGTCCCATTCCTTTCACAGCCATGCCCCAGGAGGGCATTCAGTGACAAGGAAGACAGGGGTAGTAGACCTCTGCCTCCAGGGGTGTCATGGAAAGCATCTTCTCAATATCCCAGGGTGGTGTGTAATGGGATCCCCAAAGTTTCTGCTCCCACCTCCTCCTTCCATGCCTGTGAATAGCCCAAAGCATTCCCCTAGAGTATTATGTTTTTGATGGGGAGCTGGCTTGGAAGAGGCCATCCCTTCCCACCCTGCCCATGGCCCCAGTGATGAACTTTTTCTTTTCGCCTAGTGTTTAACCAATGCCACAGAAGGTGTGCGGCTGGCTGCCCGCATCGTGGACACGCCATGCAATGAGATGAACACGGACATCTTCCTTGAGGTTTGTGGCCTTATCCTGCTAGAAGAGGGGCCAGGCTGGAGTGAGACGGTCACTAGATCACAGGGAGAGGGCAAGGAAGCCTTAAGGTTGTCTGTGCCTTCTGTGGCCTGGAAATCCCAAAACTTTTCATCAAATTCTAAAAGAACATTATACCATCAGTTCGCCTTGCCCCCAGAAGGCCAGCATCCTCGGCTGAGGGCATGGGTAAGATGGGACCTCACTGAGGACCTCTGTAGGACCAAGACCACCAGCTGCAGGAAGCTGAGTGTGCTGGGCCAGCCTTCCTCTCCCTTCCCCCGGGGTTGATCATGAGAGGCATAGCCACTGGCCTCCAAGGTGGTTCCTTTCCCACCACGCAGCCATGGATAGACTCATCTTTGGCTTGAAGCCCAGCCTCTTCTTGAGTCCAGCCTTCTTCACGTGTCTCCTGCTGTTGTTTTTTCCATGAATGTGTCCAGGAGATTAGCCAAGTTGGAAAGGAGCTGGGGATCACCCCCACCATCATCCGGGATGAACAGCTGAAGACCAAAGGATTTGGAGGTGCGTAGAGCTGCCCTTCCACAGCCCTCACCCTCCAAGGGAGGCTGGAGGGAACCTGAGGGGTAGGTTTAGCAATGGGGCCATTTGGCACAGGGTCCCCAGTTTCATCCTGCTGGGAACCTGAAGGGAATTGAATCAGCCTGGGTCCCAGCCCACGACTGGACCCTGGGAGGCAGCACATCCCTGGGGGAGACAGGGGCAGCCTTCCAGGTTCTGAGGCTGATCCTGGGAGCTACTAGACCCATTTCCTCTCATCTTCCATCTCCTCCTGCCTTCCACACACACCCCTGTTCAGAGCCAGCTCAGCGGAGCTTTCTTTTCCTCGAATACATGAGTTCATGGCCATTTTTGGGGTCCCAGTGGACAGTGCTCTCCACATAGAACATATTTCCTGTGACAGGGGAAATATGGGGCTATCTTGGGGCTATCCTGTGGGGCTATCTTGGGCTTCAAGGCTCTCTAAAAGCTCCCACCTTCCCTCATCTCTCGTACCTAGAAACTTGAGGGGAAGCTGGGCTGTCTCGAGGTGCTTTTAGACTGAGCAGGCAAAAGTCACAGTTGTCAGTGACTTTGAAACAAGTTCCTTCCAAGGACCCGGGCTCAGGAGCAGCACCCTTGGTCACGTCCCTCTGCCGACTTTGTTTTCTCCTACCGTAGCAATGTGAAGACCCCAGGAAGAAGCTCTTGCCGGCTGCTGCCTGGCCTTGGGGCTGGGGAGGCACTGCTGGTCAGACTGTTTCCTCATTGTGGTCCTCTCCAAAGGGCAACTCACAGTGTGGCCAATGTCTACCTGAGAGCAAGGTGCCTGGGGACAAAGTTGGGAAGCATGAGCAAGCAGGATGTTCACGTAGTCTTCAGGAGGCCTTGTCACTTCTGCTGAGCCCTGTTACAGAGGAGACCCTACGGCCACCTCAACTAAGGGAAAGAGGATGGCAGGATGGGAGTGCCTGTCAGTGTTCCTGTCAGTGCCATAGCCTTGCCAGCCCCCACGTTAATCAGTGACAAACTGAGTTAATGTTGGGAAGTTTCTCTGAGGAGGTGGCAGTAGGTAGGAGGACTAGGAATTTGTCAGCCATTTTTTTGCTTTCCTCATGGTGGCTAGTGTTTGGGTGGGCACCTTGAGACATAGCCTCCGTGCTCAAGCAGGCCTTCTTTTTTTTTGGGAAGATGGAGCATTGCAGCAAAGAGGGATGAAGGGAAGTATTGGTGCAAAAGCTGTGGGAGGAGGAAGGCTCAGAGCTCAGAGTAGGGGACCCATGTGGGCGGTAGAGGACCTTGAAGCATCATATGAGAATCATTTCACTCTATAGTCCTGTTCTTTTCCTCCTGGTCATGATATAATACATACATACATGTGTATATACACACATATATATTTCCCTCAGCGAGTTTTCTGGCCTAACAATATTTTGCAGTCTTAGATGTTAGAACAGATCTGTACTCTACCATTCCACACTGGCTCCAAGCAGGAGGGGGAAGGGAGATTCATTCAGGGTTGCTCTGCAGGAGAAGTATGGCACCAGCACCAGAGTCTACAGGGTGTGTGGAAGTCCCTGCTGGTGGGACCTTCTCCTCAGCCTCTTCTTTTTCTCTACACAGGAATCTATGGTGTTGGCAAAGCTGCCCTCCACCCACCTGCTCTGGCCGTCCTCAGTCATACCCCTGATGGGGCCACACAGACCATTGCCTGGGTGGGAAAGGGCATCGTCTATGACACTGGTGGCCTCAGCATCAAAGGAAAGGTGAGATGTGGGATTCGGGGTACAATTCAGACTGGCAAGTTTGAGTATCTGGTGCATTTAGTATCAGGAGTGGGCGACTGTTTTATTTAAAATCCCTCCTCTTCTATCCAACACAATTATTTCCAGGACTACTCAGGAAATGGAACTAATAATACAACTTTAAAAATAACCCCAATAGCAAACATTCTCTTTTATTGAATTCCACACATATTATCTTGCCAGCTGAAATTTTTTGAAAAGAAAAATATTCCCGTCCAAATAAAGAGAGCAGCAGCATATTAACACTTCAGATATCATTAATGTATTTTAATACAGAAAAGACTCACAAAGCAGCGTTCATCTTAGGCTCTGCTAATTGCTAATGGACTACAGCATCCAGGATGTTTATCTGGGTCCCTCATCCTATGAATCTGACTTTATCCAATCTTCTGCACATGTGTTGGACACATAGGGGAACCAGGGTTGTTTGTCTGCCCTACTCGGAACCCCAGACCACTGTTCCTATAACGCTGGGGGTTTCTGTCACCCCAGGAAAATGATGCCAGGGGTTTCTGGGAAAAAAGAAAAAAAAAAAACCCAGCTCACATTGTAGAACTTGCAATGCTGGCCATTTCTGAGGTCTCTGAGACCCACAGCCATCACATATGTGTGCATCAAAATGTCTCTAACACCACACACAAAGGTTTACAGAGAACGAAGGAATAGTGGGTGTTGGGGCCGGTCACGCTGTCCTTTCCCTGGGACTCCATGCTATAACCGAAGCATAGATGGCCCACTCTGCAGCTACCCCAGCAGTCTTGCCCTTTGTAGCATTTGCAAGTGTGTATTAGCAGAGTCTGCCTGCCAGGGTCAGTGGCCTTTTTATTCCACCCACAAAGAAGAGGGTGCTTAAATCATAAAGCCATCATCCAGTGAGTGGAGAAGACCATGTTGATATGGGTAAAGCAACAGTAACTACAGCAGTTGTTTAAACTTCAAGGAACTGAAGGTTTGGGGGAGGAATGTTTGGTTTCCACCATCACGGAGAAGCAGGATAGCTGCTTTATTGCTGCTGGAAAACCCCACGCAGGCCACGTCCCTGGTACTGCACCCAGCATACCAGGCCTGAGCGCTGCCCTTTGCTCTTACCTTCTGTGGGAGGCAGAGCCCAGCTTACCCTTGATGTGGTTGTGTTCATGAGTCAGAGCATGGATCATGGCTTCCCAGGCCAGATGCCTGTGATAAAGCTGTAACTCCTGTCACTCAGGAGGAGCAGTGAGCCAGAGGTCCTCCCACTCAGCCTCTGCCATACAGTTTCAAAGAAACCAGGGACTCCAGGTGACTGAAAATGTAGCCAGAGCACAGGGGTCCAAGCCATCCTCTCAGAACTTGACAGCTTGTCCTTCTGTGCTCAAACTGACTTGCAAACATGTGGTAGACACGATGACCACAGTGGGCACGCTGGTTCTTCTTCTTTTTTTTTTTAAATTTATTTATTATGTGTACAGCATTCTGCATACATATAACACTTGCATGCCAGAAGAGGGCACGAAACCTTATTATAGATGGTTTTAAGCCACCATGTGGTTGCTGGGAATTGAACTCAGGTCCTTTGGAAGAGCAGCCAGTGCTCTTAACCTCTGAGCTATCTCTCCAGCCCCCACGCTGGTTCTTCTTAACCAACCCTCTTGCCCCATACCCTTGAGAACATCTCACCCCAGTTCAGGGTGAACCAGGGCATTTTCTGAGTCTTACTGAGCACCTGGCAGGGGCAAGACAGTGAGGTTTCAGGAGCTAACGTGCAGGCGCTTCCACAGCCCCACTCTAGGGCCAGACATAAAACCCAGCCTAGCAAGGAGGGTGGCACACGTGGTACCTCAAGAGTGAACCAACTGTATGGACCTCTCGGCGAGTGATCTGGGTGGCACCAGCAAAGCTGCTGGCTTTGTGCAGCCCATCTCAGCTCTGCTCACAGAGACTTAGGTGGCAGCTCAGCCTCGGTGGAGCAGCAGGTCCTGGGAGGCCTCAGACAGTCTCCCTGCCCTCTCAGCCCTCTCTCAAAGTACCAATCCTAAGTGAGTTTGGGTGGTAATGCTGATTATTGCCTGGTGGGTCCAGTGTAGGAGATTAGAATTAAAACTGGGATCCATTTGAAAACGGTGCACCATGAATAGTAAAGCTTCATGAAGATAATGTAATTTTCACAATGAGAAACAGTTCCAAGTGTGGCATTGTACATTTATCAATCTCCTTTGAGAGAGCTTATCAGAAGAGATACTGTGCCGCCTGCGCTGAGAGCCTGGGCCACATCGTCTCCCTGGGGTGCATCCAGACAGTCTGGCCCCACACGTTTCAGAATGACAACAGGAAGGAGTCGTGCCCCGTAACCATTCTTTGATATTCTACCCAAGCTCCAGTAGTGGTGTTTGAATGATTTTTCTGACAAGGATCCCAGAGCAGTAAGTGAGCTGTCTAGAGTGTCAGATGTCTGTTTTGTACGTGGTGGGTGGATCTTTTGGAGGCTGTCAGCACACAGGGCTATGCATGAGCAGTGCATTTGGTGTACCTTCCTGACACCAGAAACTTCACATTCTTTTATGTCACCGTTAGCTCATCAGAAAAGTCCTTGAGCGTGGGGAGGCTGTCAGATGACATACATAAGTTTCTTGAAGTTCCGCCTTGTCCCAGCGAGCTCGTTAGCCTTTGATGAGTGCTGCCCTGTGCTGTCCCAGCGAGGCCTGCCCTCTTGTTACTGTGTCAGATGCCTTAGATGGGAACTGTCTCTTGCTGCTGCCTCAGGCAGTGGCTGCCTGGGCCTGTCATTCTCATGACTGCCCTGTGCTCCGACTGACTTGGAAGAGGCAGCAGAGGTGTGTCACCACGGAATAAGGACAGTGACTCGCACTCCAGTGAGATTCTTATCTTTTTAAAGTTATTATTACTTTTTAAAGTATTATTTTAAATATTATTATTATTATTATTAAATATTATTGTTATTTTTTAATTTTTTTTATGTGTTTTGTGAGACAGCACTGGAAACTGAACTCAGTCCGCTCAGAAAGTGTTCTCAGCCTCTCTCCAGCCCTAGGAGAGTTTTTAAACTTAAAATTATCAAACTTAACATTACTGCTTCATGGAGGGGCTTTTGCAAGTGAGGTCATCATGACTTGATTTTCCTAGAGTATATGAACAGGAAGCCAGTGACTTAGTTCACTGTGAGACCACATCCTCCAATAGACCAGGGCCCTGACACTTTCACTACCTGTGGCTTCTGTGCATGTGTCAGCGTGACAAGGGCAGATGGTACCTCAGCATTGAGAACCTTTTCCTTTGTAACACAGGGGAGTCAGGAGGCCTCACGTAAGCAGCTGAGCTTGGCAGTTTGCTTGGGAGGTGACACCTGTGCAAGGACACACTGTGTTCCATGAACAGCTGTCACAGACATTTCCTGGGTGGGTCATTTTGAAATGTTTGCTGCTGGGCCTGGGGCCCCGTTTCTTCATGTCAGCAGGCCTGTGCTTTCTCTCTGGCTAGGTCAAAAACACGGCTTCTTTTCAGTATTCAAGATGTATCATTTTCACCTGACGTAACTATAAAAGCGGCCCCGTCTGTGTCCAAAATTACTTTGAGCTAAAATTCAAGCTCGTGATACAACAGGGACTCCAAAAATCACTGTACATTTCATGCCAGAATTCGTATTTCTGAAGACCTGTTGTTATTTAAAATATAAGCCTGTCAATTTGGCAGTTTGGAAGCCTATATAATGTAAACGTGTTCCAACATAAGTAGTTCGCAGGAGATGACATTTACATTGGTGGCAGGGGTCTTCAGCTGAATGTGGTAGGGCAGAGATGCCCCCTACTGATAGCTGGATGGCAGTGGCATAAGGGATGGCCCAGGCACGCTCTCTACAGTCAGATAGGAACTGCTGGGCAGGGAGAGGGGCAGACACAGAGCTGGGCCTCCCCAGAAATAAATAAATAATAAATAAATAAATAAATAAATAAATAAATAAATAAATAAATAAATAAATAAATAACAGTTACAGCGGTGGGCAAGTAAAGGCCAGTGAAAGAGGCTTCAAGTGGTCCCTGTAGTAGATGATGGAACACAGACCAGGATGGTGTGAGCATCTGTGACAGGGGCTGGAAAGAGGTCAAAGCTTCGGAAAGGCTTGGGTACAGGGCTCCTTCTTGCAGAAGTGGACAGGATGCTATGGAGGCTGTAGCCTCACTGTGGCTGGAGTTGGAGAGACCAAAGGTGAGCGAATCAGCAGACTGTATGTCTCACTGTAGTTGGACTCAACCGTAGAAACCAGAGAGAGCCACACACAGGTTGGCTGCCAGCTAGTGTTTCAGGGAGGATGGGATAGCATGGGCCTAGGGTTACTGTGTCCTTCCCTCCTCAGAGTACAGACCACAGGAACTTGTGAGTGTAGAACACAAGCAAAATGGCTTATTGGCAAAAACATCACCTCTAGGATCTTATATCTGAGGAAGAACCAATAGGTCTGATTGCCACTCAATTGCCTGGCCAAGCCTCTTGAGGTGCTGCCTGGGTGACCCCACAATAGCCTCAATTTCTATGGAGTTTGGGTAGTAAAGAGGGTAGAGGCCTGAGTGTACACTCCCAAGCTGGCATGGTGTCCAGGGCTCTGTGGGAAAACCCAGGCATGATGAGTCTGGCCACTGGTAGCTTGTTGGCCTCCATCATATCTATTGCTCCATTGCCCCAAACTCTGTATAGAGAAAAGGTACATCACCACCATTTCTGAACATTACTTCCTCTTGCTTTGGTAGAACACCGTCTTTGGCTAGTCAGTTTCATGAATTGTAGGGGTGCTCAGGTAGCCCTGTGGGAGGCAGGGCCCTGGTGGGCCATGCAGGGTGGAGCATTGGAGGCTCCGCAACTGTGCTCTGTGTTCATGTGGCTTATACCCTCTGTTTTGTGTCACTACAGACCACTATGCCAGGGATGAAGCGAGACTGTGGGGGTGCTGCAGCCATCCTGGGAGCCTTCAGAGCTGCCATCAAGCAGGTGAGGGCACGAGTTCTGCCTTTTCTCCTCCAGACTCTGCTTGATCCTCCTCCCTCCAGGACTCCACTCCCCTGGCAGTGGCAGGGGCTTATCAGGGGTTGTTTGGTAAGAAGACCTAGTTTAGGGTGCTTGCTGAAGCTTCTCTGAAGGAATCCATGGCTGGATATGTGTGGAGAAGTCTCGTAGTCCTGTTGTTCCTTTGCATCTAAGACATGCTGGCAAGAAAATGCTCAACAGGGTACCCACTGTTGATCATGAAGGGTACTGGACCTCCAGGAGGTCATAGCCAGCCACTTAAGGAAAGCCCCCCGCTGAGAGAGAGAGAGACAGACAGACAGAGAGCCTGCTTCCCCTGGTTAAGTCAGATGTCCAGTTGATGCTGACATGGCCCTCCATCCTCTTGAAAAGGAATGTGCCTCAGTGAGAGCCACAGGATGAAGAGCAATGGCGGTGACTCAGCCCATGGGATCTGTGAGTCCCCACAGCCACGCTGTAGGGCTCAAAATGAAGTAATACAGAGATGGAAAGGTTGTTTCTTGCCATTGGGCCTGGGATTGTTACCTGCAGGAGGAACTGTGCAACTGAAGTCACCGTCTGCAAACTCCTCAGTAGTAATTTGGTAAGAATGGTGATCAGGAGGCTGAGGCAGGAGGATTGCCTCACATTTAAGGTTTTCGGATGCTGTGTAGTGAGATCTGCTGTACAGTTTGGACTCTGTGCAGGGCTTTTCCCCTTCTAGTAGGGACTTCCTGAATCTGTGCCTTCAGACCTGAGCTTCACTTCCTCAGGGCCCCAATCTGTCTGTCTCCTGCTGTCTGCAGGTCTGAGGGCACTGGCTCTCCCTCTTTCATCCTCGCCAAAGCTTCCAGTCTATAAAGGGACCTCTCACCTGCTTCTCCTCTCAGGGTTTCAAAGATAACCTCCACGCTGTGTTCTGCTTGGCTGAGAATGCAGTGGGGCCCAGTGCCACCAGGCCTGATGACATCCATCTTCTGTATTCAGGAAAGTAAGGCTGGCTCTCTCTTACCTCTTGCATTGTTGTTTAGACCTGTGGCTTCTTCCCAGAGCCAGGCTAGGCCAGGGAATCCTAATGGTGGGTAGAATTCCGCCCTGCCCCCCATGTCAGTGCCCTCTCCCTTGGTCCCTTCCCTCATCTGTGATACCTCGTAAGGGATGAGGTGTCCCATACTCCTGGGGAGGGCACATGTCATGAGATAGATAGAGGAGCTACTGGGGACTGGGCTCCCCTGTACCAGAGGGGTCACCCAACACTGCATTCCTGCCTGGGGCTCTGTACCTCACCTAGGACTGTAGAAATCAACAACACAGATGCGGAGGGCAGGCTGGTGCTGGCAGATGGGGTGTCCTATGCCTGCAAGGACCTGGGGGCTGACATCATTGTGGACATGGCCACGCTGACTGGGGCACAGGTGAGCATCACACTTCACCCCTTCACTGCAGTCCCCATAAGCCTAACCCCTTTTGGCAGGTGAGAGCGAGCGGCTGTCATTTTGGAGGAAGGCAGCACATCTCATGCTGTTGAATCAGAACCCTTGCTCTGATGCTTGTTCATGGTTCCTTTCTCGGCCCTCCTTTCTGCCTCTTCCTTGGCATATTTTCCTGCCTGCCTGCTGCTCCACTGCTGCC